CTTATACGCCTTAATCATCCAGGAGAAGCTGGGTTTGTTTCGACTGGTAAGGCCCCAGTGGAAGTAGACCAAACAGTAGTCCCCGGAAACGTACTGCTCCAGAGTTTTGATTATGTACCTGAAGGGAGAGGAATAGAACCAAGCGTTACATGCAAGGGAAATACGTCACCGAAAAAAGGAAATAACTGAAACAAGGCCAGAAGTCGTATCTATTTACTGCGTCTTTTGCGGGAGGGGGGAGGAGATTGTAGAATCTAAACAGTATAGGTGACCGGCCCCGAACTAAACTGCGATCGATTCACACCAGTAACCTACAGAGTTGCCCCATTGCAAGCCGCCAAAGGCCGGGCCAGGGGCAGCGGAAGATTTAATCACCTCCCTCAGCCACCACTAACCCCAGGAAATTATAAAACGGAAATGGTGAGAATGAGCGGGGGGGGTATACGGGTCAGACTCCACCGCAGACAGCCATCGAAATGTGTGCAAGAGAATAACAAAATAAGCAACAGAGATCATGTTGCGTTCAAGGGAATGAGTTCAGAAGAAGAAGATGCGATCACTGGAACACAGTTTTATTTGCCTGACGTTTCGGATTCCCTCGGGAATCCTTAATCATAGGTAATGATACGAGTTCCAGGCAGCAGTTCAGAAGAAGAAGATGCGATCACTGGAACAAACTTTATTTTCCTGACGTTTCGGATTCCCTCGGGAATCCTTAATCATAGGTACTCGAAGAACAGTCTGTCGGGAATCCTTAATCATAGGTAATCGAAGAACAGTCTGAAACATGCGCAGAATGAGTTTATGAGAATGAGAGAATGCGCAGGAATGAGTTTATTTGTTTTGCGCTGGCTTTTCGGACAGCTGGGCGAGCTGTCCTTTGTCAAAGCATGCATAGATTTTATCGATCAGCAAGTTGGACGTGTGGCTGTACGTGTCGGTAGTGAGTTGGCCGATTTTTGCCTCGTTCGCTGCTGGCACCCTCGTGTTGATTCTGGCCTACCTTTACGGCAGTTTGCGTGGCGTTTCGTCTCCACCGTAGGAGTACCGGCCCAGGTCTCTTCGAAACGACAGCGAACACATAAACTCATTCCGGTGAGCACTATATGATCTCTGATTCTTATCCCAGAATTTTGACTTTTAAAAAGTTACAAATAAGAAACGGTCTGCCAAATTTATTCTCTTAGGCCCATACATAGCCACGAAACCGAAGGTGGTATTGAAAAAATAAACAAGAAGCAATCCTCAATAAATAAAAAAGGCAATTTAAATAACAACAACCATAATATTTTTTAATGTTTGTAGGCTATTGTGCGAGTGTAGTAAAGACACAAAGGGTTGCCTCTTATAGCTATGAGATGATAAGCCCAACCAGGCCGGGAAATTAGGTTTTGTCGATGTCTATTTAGCATCAACGAGGCAAGTAT